TTTAAAAACTGTACTTTTGAGGTTAAACAAATGTTCAGAATTAATTTAAATAAATTACAAGTTAAAAGAGGCATGGACAATTCGCTTTTGTTGCGTCGAAAAAATATTGAACCGTGAGACTAAAAGTATTGAACCGAACCGAATCGTGAATTTTCTGTATTGTTGCACTCCTACTGTCCGTCCGTCCGTCCGTCCGTCCGTCCGTCCGTCCGTCCGTCCGTCCGTCCGTCCGTCCGTTCGTCCATGATATTTAGTCAACTGTAGCCCAGAACCAGCTGCACTGAATAACATGAAATGTGGCAGGAATGTAGATGAATCCGACCAACATTGCGCCAGCCAACAGTTTTATAATAGACCCCAYATTCGAGGAGGGGCTCCATTTAAAAAGTGAGTGTCTGGACATAYAAAATGTTTACTTAAAAACTATTCAACCTGGGAGCTTTGGGATTTTTTTTTTGTTATTGATTTTTTGTTTAACTCTGATGAAGAGCTATCCATCGGGCACACCAATAAGCCCCCATCCCCCAGACCCCCACCCCACCTGAAAAGTGGGTATCTGGACATAGAAAATGCTTATAACTCAAACACAGGAGCTTTAATTATTATTATTTTGGTTGTTTGTTTGTTCAGTTCTGATGAAAGGAGCCCCACCGACTCAGACCTCCACTCARAACAAWCTGTTCTGGTGAGCTCTGAGTTCTGCTGCATTGGTGCTTTGCATAAGTGCGGGGGTCATATATGCTACCACTACGCAGTGTCTCGTTTTATTTTCTGACTGAACGATACGTCTTGTGCTGCAGGGTAGAAATACAGACATCCTATATCAGACAGTCTACTTGTCATGGTGATCTCAGAGGGGTCACCTGAAAACTGCTGAGTAATCCTACAGGTGATCCGTCACTCCGAGCACACTGCTCTGTCTGATGAAAAGATTAACTGAATACTCCTGGTAAATTGAAACGCAACAACCGTACGATTATTCAGATCTCCAATAAGAGCTGATTGTTGGATATACCTAATGATGTGAAATACAGTTTGTGAGTCTGTCTTGTGTTGCCAGAGGGAGTGAGTCATTGTGCTGTGGTGTACATTACCCTCTGTTGTTRAACTCTGACCCGAGCTCACAATAATCCCCATGCATATTTCATAGACTCCCAAAGACAACGCGGGCAACATATCTGTTACTGACCAAACGGCTGCAGCCTCCTCTGGTGTGGCCAGAGCTGAGAGATTATGTTAAGCAAACTGTCCGGAGCAGGAGCAAGGGGGTTAAAGTGAGGGACGGAGTAGAAGAATGAAGGGGTGAACGAGGAGGAGAGTGGCTGAGGTGACCAACTGCTGAAACGTGCACAAGCTAAAGGTGATGGATTCGCAGTGAAGGAGATGGATTTAGGGACGCGTTGCAGCGAGYGGGAGCCTTCAGTTTCACCAGTGATGAATTTTGTGGCACAAATTGGTTTAATAGGTACAGAGGAGACAAGAGGATGAATAATCCTATGMATGCAAATGAAACTAATGTGTGCAAATGGAACTCTTTGATGTTCAGGTGAGAGGTTTCTTTTTTTACACCTTGTTTAAAAGCAGACGTGATGAGATTTCATGCAGAATTTTGTTAAGACATTTTTTGTCTGCACTTTTCTTTGATCTAGTTATTGTKTTTAAGTCTTTCTTTTATTCTGGTCTAAGCTCAACACTGTCATCTTTTTTTTTTTCAGGACTCGCTGATGTTTTAGTCTGTATTTCTGCGTCCACAGCCAAGCACTTATCGAGCTTTTTTTTCTCAGTCAACATCATCATGCCTGCCAACATCCTCTACAATCTGTGACTGATTGCTGGGCCTTTACAAGCATGGATTTTCAATTCCAAAGAAACAGTTTCAGTCCCTCTCATTCACAGCTGCCAGTGCAAACCTCCAACCTTTCAGCCACCGAGCACTCGACAGCTTCTTTTCAGTGTCAAGCCAAACAGGAGGTTTTGAGCGTATCGTCTCTTGTCCCACCTACAGTCCTCACGCTCGTGCCCAGTTATGAACCCACAGCTCCTGTAAACCATTACTCAAGTTTTTCACCTTCTTCTGCTACAACAAGAGAACCTCAGCCTGCTGCAGCTTCATCCTCTGGAGATAGATCTCCAGAGGCTCAGGCTCTAAACTCTCTGACTCCACCACCTCCTCCTGCAGACGTTCAGCAGCCAGATGGACACATACTGGATCAGGGCTCCGTAGATCTGATATTACCAAAGGATTTATCAGAGGAACAAACAGGTAAGGTAATTTTTAAAGGGGGTGGGGGTGGGGGGTCTGTATTTTCC